GTGTTCATTGTTTGTTTGTGTACAGAGTGACCTTTGCCATTTTTCACTGTTTCATTTCAAGTGTAACATGGTGCGTGGTCCTTGACGCAGTGCGTGTTCTCTGTCCGACTATACGCCATGAATGTCGCTAGCCATGAGTCTCAGAGGCACTAAAAAAACGTCCGGTAATCGTGTTCATTGGAAAACAAAACAAATCACTAATAAATTTATGAAAACAGTTCCTTTTTGAATCGATCTAAAAGTACTCGTTTAATTCGCGCACCAAAAACCAATAATTTCCGTTTTGACGCTATTAATTCGTGCACTTGAAAAAATAATTATTTTTACTACCGCGAATTAATCGAGTTTTTATGGTAGTGACAATGCTCATTAGTTATTTTATTGACTGAGACACATACATGTATATTTGATGACAACATCAGTGAACAACGCCGTTATTTTAACATTAACTTAGAATTTGAAAAGATTGGGTTAACAGTATATACTTAACAAAACTCTGAACAGACTATACTGTAAAATGGTTAATTATTCACTAGGTTTTAATTTGGCTTATTTCGCTGACTGGAAAATGCGCTAAATTAAAACCCAGTGAATATGTAAAATTTTGCATAAAACACATTATCCAAATGATAAAACCGTGAATTTAAAACCCACTGAATATGCCTGAAATGGTAAATCAGTGAAATTTAAACCCAGTGAAATTAGTCATTTTACAGTAGTAGGTAAAACTTACCAACTGAAGGACATGGAGTATATTCACAAGACATTTGCTCAATATCAAGTCCAACACACTCTCTACCACCATACATTGGTGAAGGATTTGTACAAGATCTTTGATGTGTTTTTACTGCTTCAACACCACAAGTTTTAGAACAACCTGACCATGCTGACCACTTTGTCCAACCACCATGTACTGAAAAGAAATCATTGTATAATATGATCCATACCTCATTTTAGCTGAAAAATAATTCTGTGTTGCATGTAATTGTTACTAAATTATTATTCATATTTACATTCAAAATACATATAGTATCAATGAATTTCAAGCCCAACTCGAAACAAGTCATGTTATGACACAGTCCCTGTTGTACACAGGTGCAAACAGATGCACAAAGAATAATCCATAAGTTGTCATTTTTGGACTAGGTTCTAACATTGACCCATGGGTAAATACTTACACAGAAATTGCTATCAACAATTTTTTTTTCACACAGTCCTCCAGCCCAACCCAGTTGTCAAATGGGAAACCACAAATTATAGATTGTCAGGGCAAATGTAATGTGTCAGCACCATTTATTCACAGGTTCAAACCCAATTTTCTACAATGATTTTCAGTTAGAATTAATAGACAATTTTACAACAATTCAAAATTTTGAAGTGAAAACTTACTACCCTACTACATGTCTCTCATGCATGCTGCATGCGCCTTGCTTGACTCATATTTAGATGTACAATGTACTAGTAGTTACATGTATAGAGTAAAATATTTGTCTTGTATAAGCGCTACCAAATTACAGCCAATTTTATGAGACATTAGAATGGGTTTTATTTGAACACATTCAATTATAAATGCTGCATATTCAGTATATTCAGATTGTTGCTATTTTGGATGTCATTATAATTTCCTGCACAACACAATATTAGACTAGGAGGATTTACCCACACCCTGTCATTAATCATTTGCGAAAGCCAACTCTCATCACTTTCCACCAAAATTTTTTTGATCATTAACAAAGAAATTATATACTGTAAATGCATTAATTTTTTACTTGGCTTTAATTTCACTATTTTTGTCGATAAGTAAAATTTACTAAATTAAATCCACATGAACATGTAAAATAACAATAAAACTAATGTAAAATGTGAAAAGACCCAAACATCAATATAGTGAAATTAAATGCCAATGAAAATAAAATAGTTTCACAGCATACAAAAAATACATCCAAAATGTGCAAAATTTTGGATAGGAAAATGACAGTATTCAAATAGTCATATATAACTACCTGTACAGTTGATGACTTGTATATAATCTCCTTTACATTCTTTACCACCACATTCTGGCAATGGATTATTACATTGACGTCTTCTACACATACATGGTGTGTCATCACCATGTATCTTGTTACAGCGCTCCCAGTCTGACCAATTACCAAATCTACCATTTACTGGTATACCATGTAATATGGGACAACTTGACATATCTTGGTGCCAATGTGCTATATTAACACTGAATACAATTGTATATACATTAGACCAGTATATTATTTAAGCAATAACCCCTGCTGAAGGCGGGTATACCACGAGATATTGCACAATTCACGACATATAACAATTCACGACATATATGCACGAGCCGCAGGCGAGTGCGTATATGGAGTGAATTGTGCAATATTAAGTGGTATACCCAACTTCTGCGGGGGTTATTGCTATTATATTATACCAGTATATTGACAATTCGATAAAACTTGTAAAAAAAAGAGTTTATTTTCATCTACTAAAAGATCATGATTATGGCCCTTGAACATGAATATTTATAAGAATAGTATGTAGTTGTACGCTGAATGCATACAAAAATTACATGCGCAACACAGTTCAAATTGAATACAAACTAATTTTTATTCCACATGAAAAAAAACATATCCACGTTGAATAGAGCAGCGTAAACACACAAATTAGCATAACAAAGGATGACCTTTCTGACCTTTTACTGACGCACAACGCGATTTGAAATACAGGGTCGTGTACAGTTTGGATCATTTAAACAACGGATTTTCCACGTTTTCATTCCGGTTTTTGTACAATTTGGACTGTAATTTGCCCATTGAAAGTACAGTTTTGAAATAAACCGGTTTTGTGACTCATCATACTACTTGTAACTGTGGATATTTGACGTTCAGCGGGACGCGGTGTATCATGTACGGCGACCGGCACAGCGACCTCAGTTCCAACATCTGACCTGGATACCTTTGGTATAACCAAAGTTTTGTGACAGTATGACTGACAAGTTTTGTCGTTGTTCTGGGGTAAGTTTGATGGTGTAAGATCGGATTTTCGCATCGTTTTTGTGACACGTACATGATATGCCTTGTCTCAACTCCGGCCGAAAGACTTTGCACGCCGTCGCTCTAATACAGTGGTTGGTGTACACTCGGCACAAATCTGTAGCTTTCGAAATTACCTTCATCATCTCCTGTAATTTATTTACCCATAGTGAAGAATTACAATACCATATATCGTCGTCGAATCCTGCGTTGTCCCGTGTTTTTTGAAACAGATGGCAATTACCCGGGTGCACTGCAATTTTGTCAGCTGCCG